GAAACGAGTTTTGATTGATCCAGGTAGCTCTGTGAATATTATTCTGCTAAGAGTTCTACACGAGATGCAAGCTGAAGCCAAATTAGTACCCAAGGCGCATGCTTTGTCCGGGTTTGACAATTCTAGCGTCGTGACGAAAGGGGAAGTAATACTTACTACATTCGCAGAAGGAGTTGTCAAAGATACAAAGTTTCAGGTAGTGGAGCTGGAAATGGCTTACAACATAATTCTAGGGAGGCCATGGATCCACGAGATGGATGCTGTTCCGTCGACCTTACATCAAGTCATTAAATTTCCATCACCATGGGGAATATGTCAAATCCGTGGAGATCAACAGACATCTAGGAACATTAACTCCGTAGCAGATTCAAGCACGAGAAATGAAGAAAAATAGCAATTACAGTATTCAGTTGAGGATACCACAACGCAAACCTCAACTGAACAAGGGCGAACAGATGTAGATTCAAGGCCTGACTCCATTGAAGAACCAGAAGAAAACGAAAATATCAAAACAACGATCGAAGAACTGGAGGCTGTAGTATTGTTTGTACATTGGCCTGAAAGGAAAATTTACATAGGGGCCAATCTCAGCCCAGACGTAAAACGTAAGTTGATTGAATTTTTTAAAGCTAACGCAGATTGTTTTGCTTGGTCCCATTTGATATGACAGGTATACCATCGGAGGTAATGGCTCACAAATTAAACGAAGACCCGTCTTATCCACCTATCAAACAAAAGAAGAGAAAGCAAGGAACTTTCAAAAATCAGGTGATTCAAGATGAGGTCCAAAAATTATTAAACAATGGATCTATCCGCGAGGTAAAGTATCCTAATTGATTAGCCAATACTGTTGTGGTACCAAAAAAGAATGGTAAGTGGCGAGTTTGTGTAGATTACACAGATCTTAACAAAGCTTGTCCCAAAGACTCTTTTCCATTACCACATATAGATCAACTCATTGATGCTACTGCAGGACATGAATTGTTAAGCTTGTTAGATGCATATTCAGGCTATAACCAGATTAAAATGGATCCTTTAGATGAAGAAAAAACTTCATTTATAACAGACAGGGGGACTTACTGCTATAAAGTAATGCCTTTTGGCCTCAAAAACGCTGGTGCAACGTATCAAAGACTGGTGACCAAAATGTTCCAAGAACACTTGGGAAAAACTATGGAGGTCTACATAGATGATATGCTCGTTAAAACTCAACACTCGGGAGATCATATATCGCACTTATCGGATACGTTTCAGATATTACGAAAATTCAATATGAAATTAAACCCTGAGAAATGTGCGTTTGGAGGTGCATCAGGTAAGTTTTTAGGTTTTCTTGTTTCTAACCGTGGTATTGAGGTGAATCCAGCGCAGATTAAAGCCATTGAAGAAATTCCTGATGTACTTACAAAAAAAAAGAAGTACAGAGGTTGACAGGAAGAATTGCAGCTTTGGGGAGATTTATTTCCAAATCATCCGAAAAGTGCTTTAAATTCTTTTCAGCTCTTAAAAAGCAAGGTCAGTTTGAATGGACTGAAGAGTGTCAACAGGCGCTCAAAAATTTGAAGAAATACTTGTCAAATCCGCCGTTGCTCGCAAAACCAAAGGTTGGAGAAAGTTTGCTCATTTATCTTGCTGTTTCAGAAGTAGCGGTAAGTGCTGTTCTAGTTCGTGAAGACCAAGGTAAACAGTCTCCAATCTATTATGTCAGTAAATCATTATTAGATGCAGAGACACGGTACCCTCAACTAGAAAAACTTGCACTTGCACTAATCATGGTATCTAGAAAGCTAAGACCTTATTTTTAATGCCATCCTATTATCGTAGTAACTGCTTATCCATTACGCAACATATTACACAAGCATGAGTTGTCTGGTAGGTTAGCTAAATGGGCTATAGAACTAAGTGAATATGAAATCAGATACCAACCCAGAACCGCGATAAAATCTCAAGTATTAGCAGATTTTTTAGCTGATTTTAGCCAAGAAATGCAATTAGAAGCGGAAAAAGAATTACAAGTGTTCAACGGGTCTAATCCAGGAATTTGGACCTTATTTGTGGATGGCTCATCTAACGTGAATGGTGCAGGATTAGGAGTTGTTTTGGTGCCACCTACGGGTGAAACCATTCGAGAGGCCATAAAATGCCATTCTATAACTAACAATGAGGCATAGTATGAAGCTGTGATTGCAGTTTTGGAACTGGCACGCGAACTTGGCATTAATCAAATTGTAATCAAAAGTGATTCGCAGCTCGTGGTTAACCAAATGCTGGGGACTTATACGGCAAGGGAGGCACGAATGCAGCAGTATTTGGAAAAGGTACGGGATTTAATTAGACAATTTCAAACCTGGAAAGTCACACAGATATCGAGAGATGAAAATGTCGAAGCAGATGCCCTAGCTAACCTCGCATTTGCGGCAGACGTGGCAAGCAATGAAAATGCTTCCGTAATTCATTTGTTTCATTCGGTACTTGATCCGGACAAAAATGAGGTAAATTTCAACAATTTAACCTGGATTAGCGAAACGAGATTGTTGCTTTTTTGCAGTATGGTACCGTCCCTGAAGATAAGAAAAAAGCCCACGCGCTTCGGAAAAAGGCTGCACGATATTGTTTGAAGCAAGGTAATCTTTATCGAAAAATGTTCGGTGGCCCCTTAGCAAGATGCCTCGGACCTTCTCAAACAGAATATGTAATGAGAGAAATACACGAGGGGCATTGTGGGAATCACGCGGAAGGAAGATCACTGGTAAGAACCATGATTAGAACAGGCTACTATTGGCCTAGAATGGAAGAAGAAGCAGAGAATTTCGTGGCTAAATGTGATAAGTGCCAAAGATATGGAAACAACATGCATAGACCTGCGAAACTATTACATCCGGTCATTGCACCATGGCCCTTTATGAAGTGGGGGATGGATATCGTAGGACCACTACCACAAGCAAAGGGACAGGTAAAATTTCTACTGGTGCTCACTGATTACTTTATTAAATGGGTAGAAGCAGGTGCATTTAAATAGGTACGGGAAAAAGAGGTCAGAGATTTCATTTGGCGAAATATCATATGTCGGTTCGGTGTACTAAAGGAAATCGTGTGTGATAACGGCCCACAATTTATAGGCGCTCAAATCACAGAATTTTTACAAAGTTGGCAAATCAAAAGGATCACGTCCACGCCTTACCATCCAGTAGGTAATGGACAGGCTGAGTCAACAAATAAAGTCATTATCAACAATTTGAAAAAACGGTTAGAAGAATCTAAAGGTAATTGGCCAGAAGTACTACCTGGTGTTTTATGGGCATATCGCACAACAACAAAAATAAGCACAGGTGAAACACCATTTTCATTGGTGTACGGGGCTGAAGCTTTAATTCCAGTTGAAATAGGGGAACCAAGCACGAGGTATACGCAGGTGTCAGAAGAAACTAATGAAGAGGAAATGCGCATAAACCTTGACCTACTTGAAGGAAGATGAGAAACTGCATTAATAAGAATGGCAGCACAAAAACAAGTCATTGAACGATATTACAATCGGAAGGCACGATTAAGATACTTCACGATTGGGGACTTCGTGCTCAAGAAAGTCTTTCAATCCATGAAGACGGCCAATACCGGAAAATTAAGTCCAACTTGGGAAGGACCTTACAAAATTCATGGTATTGCGGGCAAAGGAGCATACGAGCTAGAGACTATGGACGGCAAGATATTACCTTCACATTGGAATGCCGTTCACCTGAAGAGATACTATTTCTAAAAGAATACCCACGGTCAGGTATCTTCATTTTAAAATTCTGTTTTTGAATTGTTAAAATTTTACTAACGATTTTAGATGCTAGGCAAAAAGTTAGCCCGTACTAAATGATAAATTATGATCTGCAAGGCACGTGGAATAAATTAAAATTCCTGGTCTAGGGTTACAACTATTCTGATAGAAATTCAGAAGGGTTAAGCAGTCTTCATCTAAAATCGCCTCCGAGTCCCGTGTGTTTTTTCTTTTCAGGGAAAGGACCAAATGAGAGGAACAGTCAAGTGCTCGAGATTTCATGCTTCAATGCTCAAACACTTGGGGGACTATGTGATATATATATATATATATATGTAAATGCATAAAGAAGACAAAGCAGATTGAGAAGCAATCAAAAAGTCAAGAAATCAGCTAGTTCAAAATCACATCACTAAAAGAGTCAAGTGCAGAGCAAAAGCTAATGAAAGATAGCCACGAGCCAAGGCCAGGACAAAACCTTACTATAGTTAGGTTAAAAGCAATGTACCAAAACAGGTTATAAATAAAAACCTTGTATTTAAAGTACATGTACTAAAACGGGTTATTACATAAAAACCCTGTACAAAACCTTACTATAGTTAGGTTAAAAGCAATGTACCAAAACAAGTTATAAATAAAAACCTTGTATTTAAAGTACATGTACTAAAACGGGTTATTACATAAAAACCCTGTATTTTGATTCCTTCTTTTAAAAATCTGTTATGAGAAAAACAGTTACGAAAAAGTTATAGATGTTATTTAAATACATGTAAAGTGTTGCTTAAAACTTGGCAAAGTTCAAATAAAAGCTTGTCAAAGTTATTTCAAGAAACATGTGTATTCCTATTTCTTTTATCGTATGTTAACACCATTATGAAGTTGAGACGTCTTCTTCATTAAGTGTAGAATATAAAAGGGCCCTCTTTTATAATTCATGATTGATTTAAGACATCATGAGAAAAAGAAAGCATTTTACAAAATAAAAATGCAAGTTATTCAGTAAGTCCTTAAAAATAAAGGCGAGAATAAACAAAATAGAAGTTTAGACAGTAACGGAAACTTCATAATATTAAAACAATTTTGACTAAGTATGGACTTAGTCATAAACCGAAAAGTTGTTTAAACAAAATGCCCCATAAAAGGTCTGGGGACTTAACGTTTTTCACAAAACCCTTAAAAAGACCAAGGGTTACAACCAACCACAAAAATAAAAAGTCAACAAAGGTATTCAAACTTCTCACTGAGAACTTGAAGGAACTGAAACAGGGACATCAACAGCAGCGGGCGGCTCAGTTTGACTCGAAGGAGTGGGGATACCCGTATCATCTTCAATTTGTTTAGAAATTTCAACCACAGGAGAAGGGAAATCTTGGTTCTGCTGAGTCTTCTCGAGAGCCTCTTTGATCTTGGCTAACTTAGATTCTAAGTTAAAATTCTCCTGGCTAACTTGAACGAGGGTATCATGGCGAGAATTTAAAAACGCCCAACTCACTTCAATGGCAGATTTCTCTTCAAGGATCTCATAGTCTCTTTCCCAATCAGCAACTTCATTTCTTAATTTTTCATTTTCAGCTAAGGCAGATTCCTGAGAAGCTTGGAGAGCAGCTTGAGAACTCTCTAAAAAGCGAACCTTTTCAGAAGATTCCCGGAGGTCTTCTTGAGTTTGTGTCAGTGTTTGCACAAGTTCTCCAGCATATGCTTCTTTCTCAGCCAAGAGAGCCTTCAACTCTCTAATCTCCTCACTAGCCTTGGAAAGTTGCTCAGAAAAAGAGGTTTCAAGACGTAACTTTTCTTTACTTGCTTCACTTAAAGAAGCTTTTACAACTGCCAGCTCTGATGTCAAGACCCTTACCTGCTGCTCCAAGGTGCTTCTACTTTCTTCTAAGGTTTCCACATCAATTTGAAGACTGTAACACCGTCCCTTCCAATTATCCACCTCCATCTGATAGTCACGCATTAATTGCTCTAAAAGGGTAACTCTTTTCATCATCTTTGTGCCAATTAAATTAACCTAAAAGAAAAGGGAAGATGAGAATCCTGAAAATAGGCGAAGCATAAAATAAAGTTTGAAAAAAGGAGTACCTTTAAAGAAGCATGCACTATGTCATTCATCAAGGTCAAAGAACTGTGACTCTCAAGCTTAGCCTTTTCGACTGGACCAATCAAAGGCTTTAGCCACACATCTGCTTGACCTGATTTACTTAAAAGGTTACCCTCAGCAGGGACTTCAATGGTGACTTGCTTCATAACAATATTTCCACTTGAGGAACCAACCTCAGTATGATGAACAGGTGGAGGGGGAATCGTTGAAGGAGGAACAATGGAGGCAATCGTTGAAGGAGGAACAGTGGAAGTAGTAAAAACAGCCTGGGGAGGAACAGAAACAGCCATGATTGGCAAAGACGGAGTCATGGGAACGGAAGTGGCAAAAGAAGCCAGGGGTGCTTCATCAGAAACCATCTTCACTACCAAACCCGCGATCAAAAAGCTTCTCAACAGAATCATGAGCAACAGCGGGAACATCATCAACATCATCATCATGGATCACCACCGGGGCTTCAATAGACTCGGTGAAAGGAACAGAATGGCGGGGGGATGCTTCATCATCAGAGATAATACGTCTACGAGCCCGCGACCTCGTTATCAATGAACATCTTCCTCCTCTTCAGAGTCTTGGCCATCAACGACTTTTCTTTTCGATGAAGAACCCAAAATTATTTCCTGGGCCTTTTCCAAAGAGATACGAGAAGATGCGATTGCCTCAGCAGTAATCCCTCGAATCGCAAATCCTGATAAAAAGAAGGATTAAAATAAGTTCAGAGAAAAAAAAGCAATATGTAAAATAAAACTCTTACCGTGAGTTTTTACTTTCCAACCAAATCGTTGGGAAAGAGCCTTCCAAGACCTACCCTCCATTGGGGCAGCATTCAATATTTTTCCTACCCAAACACGGAAATTGGGAATATCATCCACAATTCCCATGGTTGCTGAAAAAGAAAAGGAAAATTAAAATAGATAGTCATCAAAATTAAAGGGAAAAAAGGTACGAGAAAATTACTCAAGTGCAAAATTCCACTTTTCGGGAAAGGGAACGTTTTCCTCACCCACCAAACCAACGGTGGGGGCAGCAACAAACCGGGCATACCAGCTACGGTCTCTGTCATCCTCTGGACTAACCAGAACTCTTTTGCTCCTAGCTACTAAAGTGAAAACACCATTGCGAAAAAGTCTGGGGGAGTAAAGATGAATTAGATGGGAGAAAGTGAAAGGCACACCGGCCACATTGCTCAAATGCCTCAAACATGCAACAACCCTCCATACATTAGGGCCTATCTGACCTAAACATACGTCGAAAAAATGACAGAATTCTAGGATGACAGGGTCAATAGCAGGTTTGAATCCCAAGGTAAAAGGATATGTATAAACAAAGGAAAATCCCATCAAATAAGAGGTGATTCTGTGGTTCGCATTAGGGATTATGATGGGAAAATCCTGACTCCAATGACAGTCTGTACGAACTAAAGAAATCAGACCTTCAATGATCTGAGTTGGGTAAATATCAGCATGATCTAAGGAAGATACTTCTTTTCTAAGAGATTCTCTATCATTATAGAAGGAAAATTCCGCAGGAATTATCTCCTCTACTAGAGGTTCACGAAGAGGCTCAGAGGATTCCTTACCTCTAGAGGAAGATCTATGTGAAACAGAACCTCTGGTTCTAGAAGAAGGGCTAGAACTGGATGAAGACCCTAAATTACGTAGTCTACCACCCCCTCTTCTACTCCTATTAGGAGCAGAAGGAAAGTTGTCAACTATGAAGACTCTCCTAGGGTTAGGGTTTGGCGAAGCCATGGTAGTACGAGGAAGGTAAAGAACAAGAATTGAATATTCTAAGAGTTTTACGAGGAAGATGGAAACAAGAATTGAATATTCTGAAAGCTTTATGAAGAAAAGACAAAGGCACAAAACTAAATTTATACTAGGAAGCAACCGTCAAAGGAAAAGGTACAATGATGGAAAGGTCATAATGAGAATTGTCGCTTCGTGATTAGTGAAGTCGTAAAAAAGCCTTAGAAGGCGCTACAAAGTTGCAGAGCCAATAAGAGGGCGCCACGTATAACGAGCATTAAATGGAAGTGACAATTGAAGCATCGATTCTATCATAGCATTAATGGCGGTAAATATTCCCGCGTCAATGAAATCCACTTCCCAAATATTCAATTGATGAATAAATGGCAAGTGGGGGGACTATCTGTATTGGGTAAAACTGAGTTTATGCATATCGAAGTGATTGAAAGATGACATGTCATGACACGTAGGCAGGTCAAAGAATGGTGATTACGCAAAGAGGCACGAGTTACAACAGATACGAGCAGAAGCACAAGAAGAGGCACGAACAAATATTCAAAATACTCGATGCTCGTACCTATTTAAGTCTAAAAGCTGAGAAGAATGAACCTGACAACACAGGAGAGCCCAGATACAGTGTTTAATAAGTATTAAATACTAAAAACGTTAGAGGATCTGTATTAAATTGCAATGATTATGTAACGTTGCATTTAATGCCTTTAATCATCCATAATGACCTTATTATGACAAAGGCAAAACGTATAACTTAAAAATAGCTATAAAAGGGAGAAGACTGATCATTTGTAGACACACAATATCATCTGAATATACTGGTTTACTTTGTTTTCTGCTATCTATTCATTATCAAAATCCATTTCTTTTATTCATTTCCGATTATCAGTAACCCGAATTCTTCTAAAAATAAAGCTTTGACTGAAATCCCATTTTTCGGTTAAACCATTTCATTTGGTTTACTGCACCAGATCATATGCATGATGCAGTACAAAGGAGTACAAATTCTTGAATTGAACTGCAAATTTTTAATGCTAGAGTTACATATGGATAAGTCTGATTTACATGGAGTAACTGGCCTTTTCCGAGCTTCGCCTTATGTGGAGACACCCAACATAGACATGAAAACTATGCTTGTAACTTCCTGTAACTTTCATTTTGTGACGCCCTCCCCCATCGCCTTATGTGGAAGGATTAGAAGAGTAACAATTAAGTAGTAGTTTTGCAGTCTTCTATTTCTGTGTTGAGTAACATTTTTGTAGCACAACTGAATCTTCTATTTTTCTTACCGACACAAACTCATTCTTTGCTGAAAAAAGCATAACTTTTGTTCAAGTTGGGGCCGGGCAAAGCCCGGGCTACCCCCACAAGTAAAAATAGAAGTACCTAAACATAAGAATCAGATATCTTTAACTGCTGTCAAATAACGAATAAAGGTTATAATTGTACATCAGGATAAGTAACTCACAAATCTAAGCTCCTAAACATAGGAGAGTGTATGACTTATAAGCGGTGTATTGATCGGTTCCAACCCTACACCACTACAAAGTGGAAAGAGCGGTCGATGCAGCTTTTACTCGAGAAGGTCGGGATCCAATCCACTGGGAGCAACAACAATGTTTGGAGTTGGATTTCTATCTAATCTAGCAGTGCGTAGTGCACTTGATTATACTTCCAATCATATTTGTTTGTTTGTTACTTCTAATTATGCTAATGATATGTGAAATTAAGCTAAGTATGAATGCTTGTAAGGTTTTCTAAATGGTTAACGAGGCACTAGGGAAGTGACTTTCTCCTAGGTGAATACTTGACGGGTTCTAAAACCTAAGGCAAAGCTATAATGTTTGGGATCGCGATATAGCCAATGCACGACATTACTCACTCTATACCTCTCGGTAGCTTGAGTGACTTTGCCCTAATTGACTTTCTCAAGACCAATTGAGTGTCAAAATTATGCAAGCAATATAGGCTCAAGTCGGGTATTACTATCTCTAGATTTAACCCTTTAATTGGGGCTATCAATCTCTTGAATACGCCCCAATTCCTTGTTGAACTGATTTTCCTAGACTCAAGCTCTCTTTCTCAAGAAGAGCCCAAGTCAAATAAGCACAAATTAGTGTTTGCAACCACTAATTCAACATGGATAACACAAATCAGTCCAAATATCAACCACCCATAAACATCTAAGCCTTAGAATAAAAGACCCATCAAATACCCACACTAGGGTTGAGCCACAACCCTAGCTAATGGGTCTAGCTACTCATAATAATAGAAGAAATCAAATATTTAGATGAAGAACAACCCATAAAATATAATTACAAGCTAAGATTTGAAGATTCAATGTTAAACCAGCTATAAAATTACTCAAAATTGGCTAAAACCACTGTTCACGTGCTCAGCTAAGATACAGATACCCTAAAAATATGAAAAAGAAGTATTTATACAAGGCCAAATTTTTTGGATAAAAATACCCTTGACGGAGGTACCGCGGACCGCGGAAAATGCACCGCGGCCGCGGTGAGGCTTTTTGGCTTGACTTTTCATTCTCTGAATCTGGCCACCGCGGACCGCATAAATGAACCGCAGCCGCGGTGGATTCACCGCGGACAGCATAAAATGGACTGTGGCCGCGGTGTCTTGAAACTTCAGAAGTCCTGAGCTCTCTGAATCTCCTCTCTGGGGACTGCAACAAATGGTCTGCGTCCGCGGCGAGGCTACTGCGGCTGCAAAGAATCTTCCGCGGACCGCACTGCTTAAAACCCCCAAGATTGCACCTCTCTGAACTTCTCCACCGCGGACCGCACTAAGTGGACCGCGGCTGCGGTAGGTCTGTTGCAGCTGCAGTGGATTTTATGCTGCAGCAGTGCTTTGCCTTGTTCTTGGTACTTGTGCAGGTTTCACTCCTTTTTGAGCTGGTTTTGACTTCTTGTCACTTTCTTGATCAAACCCTGCAAACAAGTACAACATGTAAGCCTTTGGGGCTATTTGCATACATTCTTAATCCAAACTCAAGTAAAAAGGAGTATAAAATGAACTAGAATCCCTAGTTATCAACTCCCCCAAACATAAGCTTTTGCTTGTCCTCAAGAAAACAAAATAAGTCCCACCTCCTTAAGAATAAAGCCAAGAAAATTCAGCTGACCTAAGGTGACCTCATCTAGCATCAATTGGGACTAACAATTGCCCTCAGTTCAAATGAATCATTAACAACATTCAACCTTTTAAACACCATGGTTATAGTGCGTCACAAAAAGCATCAAGAATTGACTCAACTCATCAAGGTAACTCTTTCTACCACTTTGGTCATTGTGGAATCCAAACTCATACTCCTCACTCTCCCTTAAGCAAGACCTCACTTTTAGATTGTAGCACTCAAAACGAGGATTGTGGAAAACACACTCATCTCTCTCAAAGAAAGGTCACAAGTCCGGCTCTAAGTACCATAAGCTTGCCCCTTATGTGAGTCACCACTAATGCAAGCTTCATTCAACTCAAGATCATATAGGGCTTTTGTGGGGATACAATGAAGGCTTTTGGTTCAGGGTAGGAAATATTTGGTCTAAGTAGGTTTCATCTTCCCTTAAGCACTTCATTTGCTT